GTTTTCCATTTTAAATCTAAGCATTCTCACATTGTCTTAAAATTTATAAACGCACGGGTGTGGTGAGTATTCCAAGTGTTCCCAGTGCCTAGCGAAGTGTGACTCAGAGTAAATAATAAATTATTTTTTAATAAATCAACCAAATAAGTAATTAACATCTCCAAGTGGGCATTCATGCATTGCGTTGTTTCCTGCAAACAAGTTCAGGATACTTTCCATGTAGTAAAGGGAACTCATTGCAAATTGGATGACGGGGAGAGGCGAAGTGGCAGCTCTGGGGCCTGCAGGGACAACCCCCCCCCCCACCTCAGTTGTCCCACCTCTGCTGCCCTCGACTGCCGCCCCCGTTCTAGCTGCCTGGGCTCCAGTCTCTGCTTTTCCCCCTCCTCACCTCCCCTCCCTGCCGCTGCGCACAGCCTTCCCTCTCCTCCCACCAATCCTCTGACCCAGAACCCACTCCATCCCTCTGCCTGGTACTCCTAGCCCCTGCCTTTAGCTTGGATGCCAGCCTGGTCTTGCTTTCTGAGAGAAGAGGTCTCCGGTGACTCCTCCTGTCCCGTACCATCACACCTGGTGCAGAGGAGGGACAGGAGGGTCCACAGGATGGAGGAGAGGAGTACATGGGGCTTTCAGCCCTAGGTACTTAGGAACCTGGCCCAGCCTGCCCACCCGGAAGTGGCCTGATCTGGTGCGGGTGCAGGGAGCCTATATCTGCAGGAAGGAATTGATGGACAGAGGTTAAGGCTCTTCCTCTCCTTACCAAAGTATTTATTTAGCTCCCAACTTTACTCCTACTCCAAAGTTAACATTAATGATATTAACCATTTCTCTCATATATGTTTAAAAGTTTTTTTTATTTCACAGTAGTGTTTATCTTTTAGTTTTATGATTTATTTTGCTCTGTTTTTTATTTTGTGTAATTAAATCTGTAAATCTTTATTTTTCTAAAGATTACTAAACTATTCTGTTGTGTTCTCTTTTATACTGTATGGATTTTTTTTTTTTCTTTTTATCTTCCATTTTTCTGAAGTCTCTTTTGGAGTAAGACTCAGGGACAGTTTCTAGCTTTTTTTTTTTTTTTTTTTAATCTGAATGACTAGCTAATTTAAACAAAAATTAATAAGTAATTCATTATTTCCTCCCCAAATGTGAAGTGGTCAATTTCATTATCCACTGAACAGCCGTGATGCTGGAGCCTGAGTCTGCACTCAGCGGCCCCCTTATTTGTCATGCCATGCACCTGTGGTTTGGTTTCCATTAATTTACCTTTATAATATGTTTTGGTAAACAGGTAGGGCAAGTTCCACTTATTATGCTTCCTTTTCAGGAAATTCAATTCTATTCTTTTTTTACCAATTTTCCCAGATTTATAATAACTTCATTAAGTTCCTATCCGTTTGAGTAGGGTGTTTTTACTGGAATTACACTGAGTTAAAGACGCATCTGAGAAGAACAGACATCCTTACTATACTAACGCTTCCTATCAAAGATGTGTCTTCATTTATTGAAGTCCTATTTCATATCCTTCAGTGGCGATTCATTGTTTTTTTGCTAGTAGACCCATTCCTGATCTTATTTCTAGGAATCTTCCTCGAGGCACGTTTTTATTTGCCTTCCAGGACATCACACGTTCCCGTTCCCGGTTTCCTCCTACCTCCCAGCTCACTTCTTTTTGGCGTCTTTCACTGGTTCTTTCTCTTTTCCCAGACCTCTTGTTATGTTTGGTTTTGTTTTGAGATGGAGTCTCATTCTGTCACCCAGGCTGGAGTGCAGTGATGCAATCTTGGCTCACTGCAACCTCCGCCCCCACAACCCCCAAGTTCAAGCGATTCTCCTGCCTCAAACTGGGATTACAGGCATGCACCACCAGCCCAGCTAATTTATTTTGTATTCTTAGTTGAGACGGGGGTTTCACCATGTTGGCCAGGCTGGTCTTGAACTTCTGACCTCAGGTGATCTGCCCAGCTCCGCCTCCCAAAGTGCTGGGATTACAGGTGTGAGCCACAGCACCCGGCCTCTTCTCCCAGACCTCTTAACATTGGGCTCCGGAGCTCAGATTTGTAATTCCAAGGATTCTACTGAATAAATCATCACCAGCAATTAAGAGATAAATATCCTTTTTTTCTCTTTTTTGTGACGGAGTCTCGCTCTGTCATCAGGCGGAGTGCAGTGGTGCGATCTTGGCTCACTGCAACCTCCGATTCCCTGGTTCAAGCGATTCTCCTGCCTCAGCCTTCCGAGTAGCCAGGATTACAGGCATGTGCCACCACGCCCCGCTAATTTTTGTATTTTTAGTAGAGATGGAGTTTCACCATGTTGGCCAGGATGGTCTCGATCTTCTGACCTCGTGATCCGCCCACCTCGGTCTCCCAAAGTGCTGGGATTACAAGCATGAGCCACTGCGCCCAGCCTAGAGATAAATATCTTTGTGCACATGATTCTTCTATTTTTCTCCTTAGGATTCCTCACAAGTGGAAACAATGAGCAAAAAAGTCACGGAGGATTCAGTTCCTTTTCAGGTCCACACTGACTAGAATTGCCTGGATTCCCGCAGAGTTGGCATGGCATAGCTCAGAGAAATTTGGGAGACTAGGATAAAAAGGCCTCTGGTCTAGGCCCGGTATGGTGGTTCAAGCCTGTAATCCCAGCACTTTGGGAGGGCGAGGTGAGCAGATCACTTGAGGTCAGGAGTTTGAAACCAGCCTGGCCAACATGATGAAGCCCCATCTCTACTAAAAGTACAAAAATTAGCCAGGTGTGGTGGCACAGGCCTGTAATCCCAGCTACTCCAGAGGCTGAGGTGGGAGAACTGCTTGAACCCAGGAGGTGAAGGTTGCAGTGAGCTGAGATTTCACCACTGCACTCCAGCCTGGGCAACAGAGTAAGACACTGTCTCAAAAAATAAATTAAAATAAAATAAAAAGGCCAGGCGAGGTTGCTCATGCCTGTAATCCCAGCACTTTAGGAGGCCGAGGCGGGTGGATCACGAGGTCAAGAGATTGAGACCATTCTGTTCAACATGGTGAAACCCCGTCTCTACTAAAAATACAAAAATTAGCTGGGCATGATGGCACGTGCCTGTAGTCCCAGCTACTTGGGAGGCTGAGGCAGGAGAATCGCTTGAACCTGGGAGGCAGGGGTTGCAGTGAGCTGAGATTATACCACTGCAATCCAGCCTGGCAACAGAGCGAGACTTCGTCTCTTAAAAAAAAAAAAAAAAAAAAAACAAGCATCGGAGACATTGCCTTAATACAATGGCAACTATTCAGGAGAGAGGTGAAAGTGCGTTAGGATACAGAGGTTGCCATGAGTATGATGAGAACTTTGTGGATGTTTTGCAAGGGTAGAGTCAGTGGAATTTGCTCAAGAATAGGTTGTAGGGTGTGAGAGAAAGGGAATATTTACGGATATATTCAAAATGCCTGAGAAATCATAAGAATTTAATTGTCATTAAATAAGTTGCCATTGAGGTCGAGACTGGAGCAGGTTTGGGGGGAATCGGAAGTTCAGTTGGGACCAGCCACACTGGAGGTGTTTATTCCCATCCAAACAGAGAGATCAGGTAGGTAGCTGGATATATGGGTCTAGGGACCTGGTCTAGTAGCCCAGATCAGCAATACAAATTTAGGATTAAATAAGATAATAAGTAAAGTGTTTAGCCCTTTGGAAATCTTAGAAAGGAGACAGACAGGTCTATGCTGGGTTCTTGTCTAGGCTCACTCCCTGCTAACTAACTTGCTCTAACTATTTAAATCAATGCCTCTGCAAAATCACTTTTTTTTTTTTCCATGTCAAAGTCCTTCCAGGCCTCTCACAGATGAGTTTGAATAAAAGTATGCATTAGGGGGCCAGGTGTGGTGGCTCACAACAGTAATCCCAGCAGTTTGGGAGGCCGAGGCAGGAGGATCAGTTGAGGACAGTTTGAGGCCAGCCTGGGCAACAGAGCAAAACCCACTCTATTAGTTTGTTTTCACACTGCTGATGAAGACATATCCGAAACTGGGAAGAAAAAGAGGTTTCATTGGACTTGCAGTTCTGCTTGGCTAGGGAGACCTCAAAATCATGGAGGGAGGCTAAAGGCACTTCTTACGTAGTGGCAGCAAGAGAAAAATGAGGAAGAAGCAAAAGTAGAAACTCCTGATAAACCCATCAGATCTCGTGAGACTTACTCACTATCACGAGAATAGCAGGGGAAAGACCAGCCCCCACGATTCAATTACCTCCTCCTGGGTCCCTCCCACAACACATAGGAATTCTGGGAGATACAATTCAAGTTGAAATTTGGGCAGGGACACAGCCAAATCTTATCACCCAGTGTCTACAAAAATAATGTTTAAAAAATAAGCTTGGCATGGTGGTACATGCCTGTAGACTTAGCTACTTAGGAGGCTGACACGGGAGGATCACTTGAGCCTGGGAGGTCGACGCTGCAGTGAGCTGTGATTGCACCATTGCACTCTAGCCTGGGCAACAGAGTGAGGCCCTGTCTCTAAAATAATAATAATAAATAATAATAAATTTTTAAAAATAAAAGATAAAAGTGTGCATTAGGAAGACCTGAAGAACTTTCTCCAAATACTCCATTCCTGAGTCGTGTCCTTACAAATTCCAGCTCAATAGACTCCGTTCTTTATTTGTAAAAGCTTCTCCCAGGGGTTTTCATGAACACCCCTGCAATCACTTGTTGGTCAGAACCTTGAATGCTAAACTCGTAATGCCAAGAATATGGTAAAAGAAATTTTAAAAAATGGAAACAGGTGAAACCCCATCTCTACTAAAAATACAGAAAATCAGCCGGGCGTGGTGGCGGGCACCTGTAGTCCCGGCTACTCGGGAAGCTGAGGCAGGAGAATGGCATGAACCTGGAACCCGGGTGGCGGAGCTTGCAGTGAGCTGAGATCGCGCCACTGCACTCCAGCCTGGGCGACAGAGCGAGACTCCGTCCCAAAACAAAATTAAAAATAAAAATGGAAACAATCTAAATACCCAAATACTAAGGATGGGTGTTCTTGTCTTCATTTTATAGATGAGGAATCTGCAGCTCAGAGGTAAATCCACTTTCCTAAAATCACATAGCTGGTGAATGGCACCCAGGATGTGACCCAAGTTTTAGGGCCAGATGTGTGTTGTCACCACCTCCTGCTGCCTCCTGCTGCTGGGTCACTCTCAGAGGGTCTATCCCACTGAGAAGGTGGGAGGCTATTGTGATGGTTCGAGTGGCAGATGCATGTCAGTAGTAAGTCCTCCTGCCCTTTTAGCCAACTTGTCAGCCTGAAAGAGGTAAAGATTTGGTCAGTGAGTCTCATATCTTAGTAAAATCAGAATTCCCAGGGGTTTCCTGCACCTCAACCCCTTAAGTTATGCTTCATTAGGTCTGAGTGAGAAACACAGACTTAAATGCAAAGTGCTAGCTGCCCCCAGTACTCAGTCATTCCACATTTCTTTCTCCCGCTTCCCCCTGGATGCCCGGCATCAGATCAGCTTTTTTAGAGACTAGAATTAAAAATCTAATAATATTACAATTATGCTCAAAACCTTCATCGACTCCCCATTGCATTCTAAATAAGAGCCTAAGTTTAGTCTAACATTCCCTTTTCTATGATCCTAATCCTCCCCCACCTCAGCACTGGCCCTGGGGGGTCCTGGCAGGAGAGGGTTAAAGTCCTGAGAACTAGGGGCTCTTCTCTCATGAGATTGGAATGTGGTGGAGGGGAGTGAGCTGAGGGACGCTGGTGGTCCAGCACTGAGCCTGGCCATTGTTGCAGAACAATTGCCCCCCAGGAACAGAACAGCAGACGCTAATTATGAGACACTTGTGTCCTCCATGTAATTATGAGATCTGTGTGACCATTAGCATAAGAAACTAGCTTGCTGGCTTGTTGTGGTTATAACTTTCCCCAAACTGCTGTACTCAGGAATCTGAAGAAGTAGAACTATGAACTCAGGGCTTCATAAAAGACTCAGCCCAGAGATTTTCAAGTTTAGGTACATGAGAATCACCCGGATCTTGAAAAACATGCAGATTCTCAGGCCTCGATTCCAGAAACTTGGATTTGGTGGGTCTGAGTGGAAATGAAGGTGGTTTAGCCATTGAGATTCGTAGAAGTCCAAACTTAGTTCTCTCCTTTGGAAGCTGGCAGGAGTCCTGGCACCCATCTCAAAGTTGTCTAAGTACCTCCACTCCCTGAGTAAAGGCTCTGACTGCCCTGCTGATGTTGCCTGAGCCTCAAGGGTCAAGCCCAAACACTGATTGAACCCCAGGCTGGCTCACAGGGAGGAGCAAGTCAAATGACTATTTCCCTGCCTAGACAGAGCCTCAGATCTCAGGGGAAAGGTAAGAGTGGAGAATAAGAACACAAACCTGGAGCAACGAGGAGTCTGGGAAGGGTCCCCAAATCCCTGACTCCTGAGTTCATCAGTCATGCAAGGATCAGAAGTCTGTCTTAATCCAGTTTGGGTGAAAAGGTAATCGATGGGTGAGTTTGCTTAATGTGGAAAGGGCTGCAGCTGGCTGCAGAAATAACCAGGACCCCAAAATTAAATGCCGCCTGGGCTCTCTTCATGCTTACATACTGGCTTTCTGGGCCACATGGGCACCACTGCCTCCCTACTTCACATCTTCCAGGCTCTTCCATCCTAAGGAAGCAATCCTTCTTTAATTCCAACTTGAAAGTTCCCAAAGAGTTCCACTTCCTCACCTGTGTGTCCAGAGAAGTAAAAGTGGCAATGACTGGCCGCCCACAGAACCAAAGGGAGGGAGTAGGAGAGGTGGCCTCTTCCCCCGGGAAGGGGATGCTAGACTAGGCTAAATTAGTTCTCTAAGGCCCTTCACATACTCTACGTCGCTTACACCTTGTGACCACTGACTGAGACAGGTAGACTCATTCCTCATTTTGACAAGTGAGGAAACTAAGCAGAAGGTAGAGTAACTTTCCCAAGGTTAGCCAGCTAGTCTTTGGCAGAGCTGGACTTCCTGACCAGGTCTCCCTGTATCCCAAGTCCAGTTTCTCAATGGCATTGTGCTGAGTGGCATGTCCAATGCATGAGGGAGACACCAGGTTTTCTGGAATGTTTGGTCAAGTGTCCTGCAGAAGAATGACAGGAACTGAGGGACTATTGCACAGGAGACTAGACAGGTGGATTGGGATCATATTCTAGAAAAGGGAATGTTAGACTAAACTTAGGCTCTTATTTAGAATGCAGTGGGGAGTCGGTGAAGGTTTTGAGCAGAATTGTAATAATATTAGATGTTTAATTCTAGTCTCTAAAAAAGCTGAGCATATGCCAGTCAATGCATAGAGGTTAGGGTCTCAGGAGCCATGAACTGTTCAAAGAACCATCGATTCTCATCTTCTCCATCTCAGGAGCTGTCAGCCAGTCACCCTCACCAGGACATCCACAGGCCCTGGACTGGCCAGGTTCTGGGCTCAATATGTATCTCCTCATTAACCTAATAACAAGAAGGGAATAGGAGTGACGGTTCTAGTCATGGAATCCTAGCTAGTTACTGGGAATATAAAGAATAGAGCTCCCAAAGGGGACAGGAAGGAGCTTGTGGGGTGAACACCTGGTCTTTCTATGTGTCTACATCTCTCTATATATCAATATTTTTGTCAATATAGATACTGGTGTCAATGCCAATATTGATGTTGATATCCTATTGGTTCTGTTTCTCTGAAGAACGCTGACTAATACAGGGACCAAGAGGGGTCAAGGTGATGACAGGAGGGCCACTTAGACATGTCCAGGTGATAGAGGTAGGACATAGGAGGAAGTCCCTTGCACATTAGAGGTCTAGGCACAACTCCATCCCATTTTTAAAACTGAGATTTAATTCATACACTATAATATTTACCCCTTAAACTGCAATTCAGTGGTTTTTCATATATCCACAGAGTAGTTCAACAGTCACCACTATCAAATTCCAGAACATTTTCATCACTCTAAAAAGAAACTCTGTAACCATTAGCAACCACTCTGCACTACCCCTTCTCCAAGCCCCTGGCAACCACTAATCTTCTTTCTGTCTTTATGGATATGCCTTTTCCAGACATTTCACATAAATGGAATCATACAATACGTGACTCTTTGTGTCTGACTTCTTTCATTTAACAAAATGTTTTCAAGGTTCATCCATGTTTTGTATGCATCAGTAGTTCATCCCTTTTTAAGGTTGACTAATATTTCATTGTATGGATATACCATGTTTTGCTTATCCATTCGTCAGCTAATGGACATTTGGGTTCTTTCTACTTTTTGGCTATTATGAATAAAGCTGCTATGAACATTTCTGTGCAAGTTTTTGTGTGAACATAGATTTTCAATTCTGGGGGTCATATACCTATGAATGGAATTGCTGGTTCATGTGGTAACTGTATGTCTGACTTTATGAGGAACGGCCAGAATTTTTCAAAGCAACTTCCTCCATTTTACATTCCCACCATCACTGTAGGCATGTCCCAATTTCTCTACATCCTCACCAACCTTTATTGTTGTCCAACATTTTTATCATAGCCATTCTAGTGGGTCTGAAGTACTATCTCATTGTTTTAAGCTGGGTGCAGTGGTGCGTGCCTGTAGTCCCAGATACTTGAGAGGCTGAGGTGGGAGCATCACTTGAGCCCAGGAGTTTGAAGCTACAGTGTGCCATGAATGTGCCTGTGAGTAGCCACTGCACTCCAGTCTGAGCACCATAGTGAGGCCCCATCTCTTAAAAAGAACAAAAACAAAAAACATATTCATTGTTGATTTAATTTGCACTACCCTCCCTGCTGGCTAATGATGTTTGGCCTCTTTTTATGTGCTTACTGCCTGCCATTTGTACATCTTCTTTGGAGATATGTATATTCAGATCTTTTGCAAAATGTTTTAATTGGGTTATTTGTCTAGTTATTCTTAAACTGTAGGAGTTCTTTATATATTCTAGATACAAGTCCCTTATTAGATATATAATTTGAACTTTTCTCTCATTCTGCACTTTTCTCGATGGTGTCCAATGAAACATAAAAATTTTATATTTTGATTATGTAATTTCATGTAATTGCTGATAAGGTAGGCTTTATGTCTGCCATGCTGATGTTTGTTTTTATATGTGTTTTTTATTTCTTCTAGTCCTCCACGATTACCCTCTTTTGTACTAGATATTTTCTAGTATTCCTTTGTCATTTCTTTCATTATATATTTTTAGTTATTTTCTTAGTGTTTGCCCTGGAGATTATAATTAGCATCTTAATTTATAACAACCTAATTTGGATTAGTATTATCTTCATTTCAATTGTATACATAAACTTTTCTCCAATATAGCTTCATTACCTCCCCAACTTTTGTACTGTTTTTGTCATACAGATTACATCTTCATATGTTGTATGACCATCAACATAGACTTATAATTTTTATTTCATATCACTGTCCTTTAAAACAAATAAGAGGAAAAAAAGAGTTACATAGAAAAAATAAATTTATTTTTCCTTTTGTATTTATTTTTCCCTTTGTATTTACCTATGTAGTTACCTTTATTTCTTTAGGTGGGTCTGAGTTACTTCCTGTTATCCTATCACTTCAGCCTGAAGGACTGAACATTCATTCGTTAGTATTTCTTGTAGAAAAGCTGAATTTTGTTAGTATTTCTTGTAGAGAAATACTACAAGGAATACTAATGAATGTTCAGTCCTTCAGGCTGAAATACCTGACAAACTGCCTCAATTTTTGTCTTTCTGGGAATGTCTTAATGTCTCCTTCATTTTTAAAAGATAGTTTTGTTGGATATAAAATTCTTGGTTGACAGTTTGTCTTTCAGGGCTCTGACTATACCATCCCACTGTCTTCTGACATCTATGGTTTCTGATTAAAAGTCAGCTGACAATCTTATTAAGGCTCTCTTATACATAGTGAGTCACTTCTCTCTTGATACTCTGAAGATATTCTCTTTGTCTTTGCCTCTTAATAGTTAAATTATGATGTGTCTAGGTAAGGATCTTTCTTAGTCTATCCTAGTTGGAGTTTGTTGAGATTCTTGAATGTGTAGATGAATGTTTCTCATCAAATTTGGGAAGTTTTAGTCATTCTTTTTTTTTTCAAATATTCTTTCTGCCACTCTGTCTTCTCTTCTAGAACTCCCATTATGCATATTTTTGTATTGTTGGTATATCTCGGTATGCTTGATAGGTCTTTGAGATTCTTCATTTTTCTTCATTCTTTTTATCTTTCTCTTCCTTGGACAGATAATATCATTTGACATATCATCAGCTTTGCTGACTTCTTTTTCGTCTGCCTGTTAAACTGTTCTGTTGAGCTCCTCTAAGTGAATGTTTCATTTAAGTTACTGTACTTTCAACTCCAGAATTTTTGTTTTAATAACTTCTATCACTTTATTGATATTCTATATTTCATGATACAACATTTTTAAACTTTTCTTTAGTTCCTTAGACATAATTTCCTTAGTTCTTTAAGCATATTTTAAATAGTTAATTTAAAGCCTTTGCCTAACAAATCTAACATTTAGGGTTCCTTAGTATAGTTTCTCTTAATTGTTTTTGCCCTTTTTTCCTGTTTATGGGTCATACTTTCTGATTTCTTTGCATAACTTATATTTTTTGTTGAAAAAGTTGACCTTTAAAATAATATAATATGGTAACTCTGGAAATCAGATTATCCCCCTCACCAGAGTTTGTTATTATTATTTGTTTTTGCTGCTGCTAAT